GCTCTATAAGTTCAGTACCATTTACCATTCAGTACCATTTACCATAACTCTTCAACGAGCAAACTTCTCAGGCAGCTTTGGGCATTGGGACGTCGATGAGGACTGGTGCCGTTAGGATGAATGGTGCTGATGTTGACAGAATAATCTGCGTGAAAGCTTCGCTGTCGAGAGTCCAGAGCCCGAGTTGGACCGCGGCACGAATCTTAGTAATTGGCTCTTGTTTCAGAAGTGGAGAACACCCATTAAATGAGAGGCGATGGATGGAGGCAGCATTAGCAGAGTGAGAGAAAGAAAAAACAAAACTCCTAATGCGGATCTGTCTTTGTGTTTATTTGTTCTGTAATCACACACAGATCAGTACAAATATGAGCACATAAAACCTTCGTGTTTRTGGCTCTAACAAATGAAAGAGACAGTTGATTAAGTGAACATACAAAAGAATAAAAAATCAACTTAAATAGCAAACCAGATTGCGTAAAACACACCATTAAGTGTTTTTTATTCCCAACAATCATTCTTAAATCAAACTTGATTCGTCTCCATCAGCCTGTAATGATTCAGCGAGGACACCATTCATCTTTGCATGACTTGATTACTGCATTCATTTATCCATTGAAGCAAAATTACCCCATTTACTCCTCCAACTGGACATCATTACTCGAGTCATTCATGTAATCTGGTGCCATTACAGCTGGAAGACCTGTTTCCACCCAGGAAACATTAAACCTACTCTCCCTCTCATCCTGTCATAATTTTCACGGATTAAAGGTTTTAAAAATGAAAATATCCAAACCCGTCTAAATAAACCTTTTCTTTTTTTACACTGAATAGCTGATCATTTGGAGATGAAAGCCTCTCAGCATCACAGAGCTCCCATCCTGCTGCTTTTAACAACTTGACTGCCTTTCTTTTCTAACCAGCTCAGAGTCAGAAAATAATCCAACTCAAGCTGCGTTAATCGCCACAATGTCTTCACTTTTATGACTTTAAACCACAAACGTGTTTTTATTTGTGCTAAGAGAACAGAAGCTGCTGCTGGGAAAAAAATAAACAGCAAATAAAGAGGCTTGTTTTCACTCAGCTAACATTAATATTAAATCTTTCTCATATTTTCAGATAGATAGATAGATAGATAGATAGATAGATAGATAGATAGATAGATAGATAGATAGATTCATTCATTGATTCATTAATTCATTGATACATTGATTGATTTTTTTTAAATCCTTTTCTGCTCTGTCTAATTTAGGTGACAAAACTAGCCATGCTAGTCACTAGCCTCGATGCTAACGCCAGCCTAGGCATTCTAATAATTAGCTTCTCCGATGCTAATGTCAATCTAGGCATTCTAATGCCAGCCTAGGCAAGCTAGTCACTAGCCTTTTCAATACTAAAACCAGTCTAGGCATGTTAGTCACTAGCCTTTCCAATGCTAACACCAGCCTATGCAAGCTAGACACTAGCCTCYCCAATGCTAACACCAACCTAGGCATGTTAGTCACTAGCCTACCAAATGCTAACGCCAACATAGGCATGCTAGTCACAAGCCTTCCCAATGCTAACGCCAGCCTAGGCACACTAGTCACTAGCCTCTCCAATGCTAATGCCAGCCCAGGCAAGCTAGACACTAGCCTTTCCAATGCTAACTCATGAGTAGTCTTTTTCTCATTTGCCAGCTTGTAGCTCAGTCATCAGTGCTKGCCTCTCATTAATCAGATCAGTAGCTGGATCTGCAATAGATGTAGCCTCCTGCTACAAAGACCTAGCCACGGCTTGGTGCATAAAAGTCTTAATTGTGGCTCTCATATCGCAACTTGTTTTACATGTGCTAGACTTGAAGTCTAGATGACCAGTCTGCAACTTTCTACCAGACAAACTGGAGTCTCAACCTCAGTTTGAGCATTTCTTTTTCCTGTAGCACTTGTGTTSGATTGTGGTTGGGACATTAGCTGATTATGTCATGAAGAAGTGGATTTTAGTCAAAGTAACAGTAATTAATGGATCTACAATTGATTAATGTTTGAGGTCAGTCTGGTTCTAGATGACCACCACAGGTAATCAGACTGAAATAACACAAACATCGCTATAATTTGGCCAAATTTACAAATACTGACCTAAAGTTGAGTTATTCTCATCTCATGCTAAATTAAAGTCAAGGCTGCCTGGCTTCTATTTGTGTTTGGGTAATAAGACTTTATTTGAGCACATAAAAAAATCTTCAATACGAGTAAATCTTGTAAGAATGTCCTGCCTAATCTGAATAAAGATGAAGAATGTGCTGTTTCCAGTTAATAAAACTGAATTTGTTTCACAGCTGCAGCAGTCAAGACTGAAAGAGCTCATTTTCATCGCTGCCCTTTTCTGACACTTGCAGGACTAAAGTCACCCAGCTGTAATGGAGCTGACATTTTCTGTTCTTTCATTAAATCCTACAAAGAACAAAAAAAGCTAAAGATGTCATATTTAAGAAAGGGTGCATACTTGTGCAGCAATAACTAAATTTTATATTATAGTTTTCAGCCACTGCTGCAGTATTACATCAGTTTATTCAAATAGCTTTCAGTCTCCTCGTTAGTTCATAATTTAAGTTTTGGTGTTTTTGATTGGAAGGACTGCAGCGCAGGAGCAATCTCACCACATGATGTTCGAATAAAAAAGTGTTTTATTATTTAGCCGTTTACCATTCGACACAGAAAAACTTCCATGTGATCATTAGTCTGATTTTTATTCAATGTTTGTTGCATCATTTTTTTCAATAATCAACAATTTATTAGCACAAAAAAAAAGCCAAAGAAATTCTCAGCTACAAAGGAGGGGGTTAAAATATTGAAAATTCTAACTCATTTTTTTAAATGTATCACACTGCTGTGTTTGAAAACACTGTGGTTTTCACAGTTAAATAATTGCATCATTTGAAGTTTAGGTTTTCTTAAAAATAGTTCCAGTTTGAGACAAAACTTGTTTGACTTTTCACTTATTACCACCATCCTGGACTTTAAACAATATAATCAGCATTTTTATATGTTTGTGTTATAAACGCACTCTTTAAAAGGACATTTTKTGAGAATAATTACTTATTAATTAATTACTAATTACTTGTTCTGTGTCCTTTTGCTCTGGACAGAGGTGTGTGACGGGACGCTGGTGTCCAACCTGCCGCCGTCCTCCTTCAGGAGCTCCTCCCAGCTGTCCGTTAGCCACGCCCCTGGCTTCGCCAAACTCAACAGAAGAGATGGTGAGGAGGACATTTTGTTGTGTTTGCAGCTAACTGGACCCAGGACAGATCAGGGTTTAATTACTGTGAGMGTTAGAGTCTGATTTAGTAATCATCCCTGCTGAGGAAGACGAGAGGATGAAGATGTGATGTGAGACTAATAAAGACCGTTGGACAGAGACGAGACTTTATTTAGGTCCAGCTAGCTAGAGTCTAAAAGTAAACAACTAACAGACAATTTTACTGGATTTACTAAACTAAAAGGTAGTTTTCTAAAGTCACGTTTCTGAAGTTAGCTGAAGCTAATAAGCTAAAAGCTTAAAAAAAAAAAACCACAATGCTACTTAAAACTAAAGCAGGAAAAATGCTAGATAAAAATAGAAAAACAGCAGCTAAAAGATAAATGTAGCAATAACCTAAAAGAACAAAGCAGTGGCTAAAAGCTAAACAGCAAAAAAAAAAAAGAAATCGAAGTTGTCAAAATGTGCAGAACAGTAACTGGTATCATGATTATGGATTAAAGCTAAAAATAGCAAAACGGTAGCTACAAGTAGCAAAAGGCTAATTAAAAGTAGCAAAATGATAGCTAAAATTAGCAGAACAGTAGATAAAAGTTTTAAAAGGTTAGCTAAAGGTAACATGACTGTAGATTAAWGCTAAAATAAGCAGATTAGTAACTAAAAGTAGCACAAGGTTAATTAAAAGTTGAAAAATCATAGCTAAAACTAGAGTAGGTAAACATTTTAAAAGGTTAGCTAACAGGTAACATGACTATAGATTAAAACTGAAAGTAGCAAAACAGTAACTGAAAGTAGCAAAATGCTTATTAAGAGTAAAGATATGATAGCTAAAAGTAACAGAACATTAGGTAAAACTGTTAAAAGGTTTGCTAAAGGTAACATGRCTGTAAATTAAAGCTAAAATGAGCAGATCAGTAACTAAAAGTAATAAAAAAGTAATTTAATGTAGCAAAACTTATTGCTAAAATTTAAAGTAGCATAAGAAGAGAAAAGTGYGCTAAAGCAGATTTTAAAAATCTGTGTAAAGGAATCAAAGATATCTAAATACATTTATGATGAAATTACTTGTAAATAAAATTAAAAACTTTGAAAAACAACTAAAGTAGCACAAAGTCTGCAGAGGTAGTTAGACTGTCTGTTTGTATTGCTGCTGCTGTTTGCACTGGAAATTGAATGAATGATTTAAATCTGAGGTATTTTACCTCACAGGAAACTTAAAAACTTTCAGTCTTCATGCATTTTTGTCTGCGTCTTGTAATAAAATACAGTTCAATCTGTCGCCACAAYGGTTAAAGTCTGGAGAATCTGTTTTTAGTGAGAGCCACTCTGCTTCTCCAGTAAAAACTGTAAGAGCTCATTTTCATTGGTGCCCTTTTTCCAACACGTTCTGCTCTAAAGCCACCTCTCTGTGATGAGGCTGACATTTCCTGGTTTTTCATTTCTCTTAACAAGACAAAGATGTACAACAGGTGGGAGGCTGGATTTGTGCAGTGAAAACTAAAAAAACATTCTTATATTGGAGCTTTATTTCACACCTACTGACTAGCATAWCTGTCTCCAAATAAACTTTATTTTTAAAAAGTCTGCAAAGAAACTTAGAAATAGCGCTGCCTGCTGAAAAACTGAACAACTTCAGCTGCTACCAAAAAATAAGGTTCATAAACAGAGATAATTACCAAAAAGTGTGTTATTATTTAAAAAAATACTTATAAATGTAAAAAAAAAGATGGTTTAAGCTGTTCTTTTGTCATCCGAGCAGCAACTCACAGATGTAATATCAGCTCATAWTTGGTTAAAAAACTGCAATATCTGCAGTTTTCTTTTCTCATCGCGCTGTTTAGAAACCAGGCCACCTTATGCCCACATACTTATTCACAGCAAGTTAACAATTTGCCCAAACTGTTGCTCTGCCGCTGGTTATTTTAGCACGTCAGCACTGTTCTCACATAAATGCAAAGTAAGAGCTCTGCTGAATTAAAGCCTCTTCTTCTTCTTTTTCTTCTCTTTTTTTTTCCCACCCACGGGTTCCCAGCAGGAGCGTTAGCACCGAGCAGAGCTTTCCAAAACTGCGAGTGCCGAGGAAAATTCACGGGAAAGCTGGAGACAGAATTGTTCTGCACGTGTCGAGCGCATTGTTGTCCCTGCAGAGCACCGAGGGGCATCGTTTAAAAACCCACCGTAGGCGCGTTGTTTCCAGAAGAGGCCATGTTAGTGAACACCTGAGGGTAAAAGAGAATAAAAGAAAAGAGAATTATGAAGGAGAAGTGGTTTGGGGCGTATTCACCTGGATCTGGATCTCAGAGAGCAAACCCCAATGTTTGGAGCAGAAACTGATGAATAAATGAAAATCTCCTTTTCATTTCCACCTCCTGCTGCTGCAGCGTCGCTCTAAACTCGTTAGGGGAACCAGAGTTTTGTAAAACCACCTACACCCCGAAACTCGACTTGTAACTGATTTAGATACACCTGATGTTATTCACCTGATGAATATGTGACAAAACAATGTTGTGCCGTGATTCATGATATGAACCCTGATGCTGAGGATGAAGGTCTGGTTTAAATTTCATCACATTTATCTGGGATTTTTATGAAATTACGAACCCAAACACGGATTAGAACAATCTAAGAATCTGTGTTCAAGATCGCACTGAACACAGATTCTTCTTTAGTTCTTGTTTTTCTTGGCGTCAGGTTGTTTTCAGGTCGGTTTGGTGAAGATGACAGAAGAGAAAGTGATAAATGAGCAACATATTTTTTATATTAAACAAATTTTAAGCAATAATACCACACATCATGTTTTCCTAATATTGAGCAGTTCTTCTTAAAGGTCCTGTCACTCTTATTGTCCAACATGTTGAAGATGGAATAAAAAAAATCAGCTGRAAGCCTCTTTTGGACAYATAAATACTGAAATGCTCACAATTAGATCAAATAAATATGAGTAGGCATTTAGACTAAATTAAACAATTTAAACAGTTTGGTTCAAAATATACCAGTTGAATATTTATAAGAAATTCTAGTTTATTAAATATTATAACCTGTATTAAACAATCCCTGTATGGTTCGGTCTTTGGTTTTGTCATTTCAAAATAAAATCGCAAAAAGAAAACATCTGTGTTGTTTTTCCATTTTCAAAACCTAAATGTAAAAATGTAAAATCGAACTAATAAAAAATCCACAGTGTTTGTTTTTTGCTTTGCTAAATCCAAAATAAAATACATGGTGGTTGTTTTAATATGTAGCGATACCGGAAATGACGAAAGTTGTCAAAGAATAAGAGTTTATGGTGGCTGGAAGACATAAAACATCCCTAAAGATATTAACAACGGCTGCACTCAAACCTTATTCTGCATAACTTTAAATATTAAAGCACTTTTGCTCACAGTAAGATCAACATTCACTGAGTCTTTTGCTTGTTTCTGAAGTGCTCAGTGAAAATGTAACGTTTTTGTTCAATTTTTGATTTAAACAAACACACCCACAAATTTCTGACCAATCACACAGAAGGGGCGGGAGAGTTAACGCTGTGAACAAAACAACACACTTTTCGTTGAGTAGAAGAAGCTTTAATCGCCCCAGTTTGAAACCTTTTTCATAAGAAAAGTTTCAGGTCTCGTTTAAAAAGCACAGAGCATATCTGACGGCTGAAACAAAACCAGAAGCTGTTTCCAGAATCAAGAAGTCTGACAGCTGAAYGCTCAGCCTCTCATTCCACTTTTACAGGTTCTAAGAACCACAAGTAAACCTGCTGTGTGAGAACAAAGTGCTCTGYTGGTTATAAATATGAAACGAAAAGATCTTTAATGTAAGATGGAGCTCGGTGTTGAGAGTTCGACCTGTCAGGAGGAGAATTTGAACCTAGATTTAACAGTGAGCCAGTGGAGAGGAGCTGAAACTAGATACATGATCTGTTTTAATTCTCATCACAACCTTCACTGGATCAGCTGGAGGCTCCGAGGAGACGGCTGAAAGCTGTTCTGACAGCTTAAAAGAATCAAAGTTACCATCTATGTCTGTGTTTTTACAGTAGAAACACAAAATGAGTCTAATTTTAGACATTTTAGATGCAAGCACTGACATATTTAGGCATAGTAGGTGCAAATACAACCTTGAGTTTTTCAGTTTAAATGTCTCTTTTAGAAATTCTGCTGAGTCGGTTTCTTAAGAACCAAAAGGCGTGAAGGACCAGAAATAAAATTCTTTCTTTGTTTTTTTGACATTTACGTAAAAAAAAAATACTGTTGTGACAAAAGAAGCCAGTTTGTTGTCAAAGAAATATAGTGCCTCGAAAAATATTTAAACAATTTATTTTTAAAACAAATTAAATAAAAAAGAAGTAGCAATGACTAAAAACTAACCTGGCTTTTTATGGAATATCATAACTTCCTGTTATCTAAACCAGTGGTTCCAAAGTTGGGCTCAGGGCCCATAGCGGGGTCCCGAAACATCGAAATGGGGTCTTGAAAAGATTTTCAGAATTAATTACATTTTAAAATGATTTCTAACCAAGGTTATAATAG